ATATAAAGATGTTTTATTCCCAACACAAGAATAAGAAATATTTGTTTGTATTGCAAATTCAATTTCAACTATCAATCAAACGATTATTAAATTCAAACATGTTAAAAATTATGGAATCCTTAAATAAATAAATAAACCTGCTTGCGGCAATAAGTAATTTAAAGCCAAATTTCCCTAAATTCTATGAATTATTCTTTGTTTTAACTCCATAGACATATTTTGCAATAACAATGAATTTATTTATTTAATAACTATTGTAACAATTTTTTTTTCTTACATTTTTTTTTCGATTTGTTTATGCAAATGCTCACATGAAGTCCAAACAACTTTATAACAGTTAAAATCCAAAACTTGGAATATACTAGAAAGAGCAAAGAGCACAAATATAATATGCAAAAAATACCGAAATTTTACCTTTTCGATTTGGAGTTATGAGCAGTTGTAAAGAGAGCATACAAGGTGTGCTATTCAAGTGGAGAGAAGTGTGAATGCCATTCGCATAAGTAAACGACGTTAGCAGGGAACCATGGAGTCTGGGTGACAAACTCGTTATGAAAAAGCTTCAGCCAAAGAGTACTAAGTCTAAAATAAAGGAAGGACATATGTATTGATAAAATTCAGTTTCCCCTCATTTGATGAGATCAGCTTGCGTACTGCTGCAGACACTTGATTGGCTGTGCGAAATAATTTACAAAAATCGCACTGACATTAGGAACAAATTAAAAAATTGTGTTGCCCACGTTAATAAGCTGCTGATTAAAGGGATATAATTTTTCACAAAAAAATATTGCTGCCATCAAAAATCGTTACCAATTTTACTTTCAGCTGATAAGGCTTTATATTTATACCCTTGCAGAGGGTATTATAATTTTGGTCAAAAGTGTGCAACGCAATGAAGGAGACATCTCCGACCCTAAAGTATATATATTCGTGATCAGGATCACCTCCTGAGTTGATATAGCCATGTCCGTCTGTCCGTCTGTCTGTCCGTCTGTCTGTTTCTACGCAAACTAGTCTCTCAGTTTTAAAGCTATCGAGTTGAAACTTTGCACACAGCCTTCCTATCCTATAGCTGCCATATAACTGATTGATCGGAAATGCCATAACTTTGGTGTTTGTAAAGTTAGGAAATTGCGATTTTCTATCGGTTTTATATTTGGCCAATTAATCCGACCTACCAAATTTCATAAGGATCGGCCGACTATATCCTATAGCCGCCATATAACTGATTGATCTGAAATGCCATAACTTTGGTGTTTGTTAAGTTAGGAAGTTGGGATTTTCTTTGGGTTTTATTTTTGGCCAAACAATCCGACCTACCAAAGTTCATAAGGATCGGCCGACTATATCTTATAGCTGCCATATAACTGAACGATTGGAAATGCTATAACTTTGGTGTTTTTAAAGTTAGGAAGTTGGGATTTTTTATGAGTATTAAGAATGCATCATATGAATAATTTTGGAGAATATAATTTACATAGTACTCTGCAAGGGTATATCAACTTCGGCTCCGCCCGAAGTTAGCTTTCCTTTCTTGTTTCTTATTGAGAACTCTTTTTCTAGGCAACAATATATTGATAAAATAGTGATGAATATTAAAAAGAATTGCAAGTCTTTAAACAATTTTTCATTAAAAGTAAAATAAAGTTAATAGTTAATTTAGCGTTTGATGGTTCGACCACACAAAGTATCTATAAGCAACGATTCAATAAACTGGAACCGAAAAGCCTTTAGCAATCGTACTTTGTCCCCACAATAATTCCCCTTCAAATTATTGAACAATGGGATGAATTTTCGGGAGAAACCATAACCCACAATCCGTATTGATGAAAGTTGTAAACATACTTTATCCTCAACAATCTCATAGATATGCAAATAAAAGTAGAAATTGCTTATGACTTGCAAATAACTCTTATAGTTGGCCAAAACTTTAAATACCTTAGCCAATTATGTCCAATTTGGAAGTTAGTTCTTTACACGCATGGACTCGTTATTCGAATTTGCTTTAAACATATCAGTGGATCTTTAAAAATGGCGAGTAGGTAATGGTACTGACAAAAACGCAATGCTCACACGGAAAAACAAAACAAACCTTTCGGATCTATCTTCGCAAATAAGTTACCAGGCATACTATTTCTATTGCAATTTGGGAAACACCTTTATTTAAGAAAGGGTGCGATAGGGAATAAGATGTTCGTGTGGTAATATAGTACTTAAATGTAACATAGCAATATAAGCCATTAGTCGCATCATGAGGATTAGAAAAGCACCAGGACCCAAACCCGACCGAAGCTCTTAAACTTATCGCATAAAGCTGACTTGATGTACGAGTACTATTATTAAGAATGTACAACAAGTGAATAGAGAAAGGAATATTCCCCGATCAGTGGAAGATACTGATGTTGAACGTGTTTTGAGTAAATAGGTTCTAGATATTAGATTATTACTGCAAGTTAAGCTTTAAAAGCTTAAATACGGGTAGAAAAGTTAATTAAGGCAGACTTAACTTAGTAAATAAATCATTTATCTAGGTCAAGCCCGTGGTAAGAATGAACCGGATTTCACGCCCAGAACTCATGTACTGACAGTTTTTAAGTTTCCGATGAATGTGGGCAACATTATCTACATGAGCCCTTTTTAATTCGAAACTGCTGCTTGGGGATAAATGAGGACACCATGCAAATCGTCTTCGCAGGTCCAGAGAGACACGATAATTTAATCAAGAAGAGGGTCATCATTTAAAAGATGAATGGAAGCGCTACGAAAATTTCGACGCTCAATTATAAGGACGCTTCTTGAGTATTGGGTTTTAACAGCATATCGAGTCAAATAATTCTATATTGTAGAAATCCAGATTTATCCATGTTTCAACCAATATAAAGTCATAATATTCACAGTACGCTTTCGTACATGTACTAGAAACGGATAAAAGTACAGTTATTTATGCGACGTCTTAGTCGTCCCCCAATTACCAAATATTATTGGGAACAACTTTAACTGATGTTGCAGTGGGGATACGTTAAGCTGGTGGTGGGGAAACAATCCAATTGATCGCTATTAAAAGCGGACCAAGAGGGGAGGGCTCTTACATGCTGTTGGCTGAAGTCAGTTAAGCTGACCCTTGCAGAGGCTATTACTATTTCAGTCAAAAGTTTGCAACGCAGTGAAGGAGACCCTATAAAGTATATATCTTCTTGATCAGCATCACCAGGAGAGTCGATCTAGCCATGTCCGTCTGACCGGCCGTCCGTCCGTTTTTACGCAAACTAGTCCCTCAGTTTTAAAGCTATCTGTTTTAAACTTTCCCAAAAGTTTTTTTTCTATTGCAGGTAGTATATATGTCGGAACGAGCCGGATCGGCGACTCATATAGCTCCCGTAGGAACAACCAAAAAAATTTTCACGGCACATACATATGTACATGTAAACAGAATGTTTCTTTTGAATGGTCATCTGAAAGTCATTCTTACATTTAAGAGACAAACTTATTAAATAATCGATGAAAGTAAACGAGCATGTGAAGCGGTTTTAACTAAAACCCATATCGAACTAACTAACTAACTGTCATTTGTGTTCGGAGCAGCCGGCCAGCAACTAGTCTAGTGCGCATAGGTGTATGGCTGAACCTGCAGCGCTCTTGCGCTCTCCTCTTTATTATTTGCCTTATCTCGCTAAGCTCGCTATTCAGCGACTACATTGTATTATTAATTAAAATATGAAACCTGGCTTTCGGCTGCTGCAGTGCATATTCGACTGGCAGAATTAACACGACACGTACATAAACTGATTAAATTAAAAAGCGTTATTATTACATAACATAAGAGTGGCATTTTTGTTGTCTTTCCCGAAATAATATGCATCACGTTTATTTACAAAGGGTGAAAGTATAAAAGTGTTACAGAAAAGGAATAGTAGCAATTCATTGGGCAACTACATATGGTTAATTTGCCAAAAAAAAGGGCAAAGTACAACATATAAACTATGTTTTTACAAATAAAAAAAAATGAGCCGTTCGCAGGCAAGCTCCGTAGGTGCCTCCAAGAAAAAAGGTTTTGTGGTGAACAGCATAACTCGTTGCTGGATTTTTGGTAACACTTTGAAGTCAGAAATGTGATTTTGGCCTAAAAATTCGATATATTAGTTATTTTAAAATGAAAAATAATCAGTAAAAAAAATAAAACTCGACGTCAGTACCTGAGGATTTAGGTACAGAAATAGTGTGCAAAATTTAAAAACGATTCGATTAGAGATTTTTCAGGATCGTGTTCTCCGACTTTGAAATGGCAACTTTTCAGGAGAGCGTTTTAAAGTTTTTAGACACCCAAAAATGGAATACAAAACAAGCTAACTCACCTGCATTCAAGTACCTGATACTCGTATCAATCTAAAATTTTTACGCAATATTCTTCAAATGTTGTGCATTCAAAAAATTTTTAAAAAAATAGGCAAACAAAAATGTAAATACCATACCTTACAGCTAATTTTAATTCACAAGGAATCGATATGTTAACCAGAAAAGATTCCATAGTTTTACTTCTCTATAAAACTACCTTAATATTAAGTAAATTGATTAAACCTAGTACTCTGATCGAAAAACGAGTAACATATCCTAGGTGACAAATTTTTAGAGTTCATCAAAATTGAATGTGCTGCTTCTGAACGATATTTTCAAGTAGCTTGGAAAGTCTGTCTGTGTACAACAGATTTCGTCTATCTGAGTAATAGGCCAGCTAGGGAAATTTTAATGAATGTGTTTCCAGTAATTTGCAATCACGGCGCGATTTTGGTGACGCGTACTATTCCTGGTAGTTGCGTTCCTAATTGATTTTATAGATATGATGATTCTTATATTTTGAATAGCCTTGTTAGAAAAAATTTTCTATAAGCTGAAGATTGACTTACTAATTCTACAAATTCTCTTTCATAAAATATCAATTAGACTATTCGAGCAATTATATCTTTAACCATTCTATTAAATGATACAAATTCGTTTTTTTACAGCCATACATGGAAGAAATATTTACACAGCTTAAGGGAAAGCCATTTAAAAAATTTTTGGAGAGGTAAATATATTATTTGTTTTAATAATAACATGAATAAAATAATAACCATAGAACAAAAATGGCTATCATCACACATAGAGCTAATCCAGGAACAATTTCTAAAAATAGTACCAACTAGCTGAATTTATTTTTGGAAGTAAAACCACAACTTTTAAAATTATTTTCTTAAAATACTTAATTTTTTCGCTGAAAGTAAGGGGGAAACCAGTTTAAACTGAGAAAAAATAATTGTAATTCGTTTAATTTTGAAGGCTAGTTTATTCCTAGTTAAGTTAGAGACTGTCTATCACCAAACTGTTTGATCTGAAATTATTAATTTGTATACCCTTGCACAGGGTATTATAATTTCAGTCAAAAATTTGCAACGCAGTGAAGGAGATATTTCCGACCCCATTATCCGTTTCTACGGAAACTAGTCCCTCAGTTTTAAAGTTATCTGCTTAAAACTTTCCCAAAAGTTGTCTTTCTATTGCAGGTAGTATATAAGTCGGAACGCGCCGGATCGGGTGACTATATCATATAGCTCCTATAGGAACAATCGGAAAATTTTTTTTTAGGTAAAGGGTGGCCCACGAAAGATTTGCGTTTTAAAATCGCTATAAAAAACAACGAGTATATATTTTTCTAAATTTTTTTTGGCTAGCCTCAACATTGCGGTTTATGTATAAAACACCACTTATTTTCCTTTTTAATTTATTTTTTTCGCGCGGTGTCCCACGGCCCATTTACCCGCCCAACCGACCGAGGATCGCAGCCGTGTATCGTAAGGCACGATTCGCGATAAGATAGACGCGAGATAAGAAAATGTAGGTAAAAGTCCGGGGAAAAAAGAAACAGTAAGATCAATTTTGTGCCAATGAGGCTAGTATTAATCGTTTTAGGAGCGCAAGAGAGTTAAGATTTGAGATTATAGGAAAAAGTCTATTATAGTCAGAACATAATACTCTGAAAGGCTCATGCAAGGCATAGTAAGATCTACAATGATTTAATATTAGGGGAACATAATTTCTAGTTAATCTACTTGGCACAGAAAAGTTTAGCCGACTTACCAAGTCGGGGCTGTCAATCTCACCACTCCAGACGGGAGACCCATATTACAGAATCGGACGGACTAGCGAAATAAATAAAGCATTAGTTAAATAAGGATCATCGAATTCTTTTGACCACCTTTTAATAAATCTAAGCACTCCTCTGGCTTTATTAACCATGGACGAAATGTGATTAGAACATTTTAATTTAGGGTCCAAGAGAACGCCAAGATCGTTTACAAGGGTTATTCTATCCAAAGAGCTGCCAGTTAATGTGTAAGTCGCGTATAACGGATTGACCCGATAAAAAGTCATCAGCTTGCACTTGGAACCGTTTAAATTTAGTAAATTATCTCAGCACCAGTTTTGAAAACTATATCAACACCCTAAAAAGAGGAAACATATTAGAAGCAAAACTCCAGGTTAACAACGAAGACAACTTCCGTTCTGTAACAAGATATCTCGACAATGAGCTTATAAATTACTAAACTTACCAACTAAAAAGTAAGAAAGGCCTATAAGTTGTACTCAAAGGTATAGAATCGACTGTTGCGGTAGCAGAAATAGCTGAAGGGCTCACGGAAAAAGGCTTCGACGTTAAGCCAATCGTGAACATAGTAAACAGGGATGAAATTCCTCAACCACTGTTTAAGATTGAGCTGGCCCCAGAGACGAAACCTCTAAAGAAAAATGCAGTGCATCCTATTTACAATCTGGAATATCTCCTTCACCGAAGAATCACCGTAGAGGAACCGCATAAGCGGAACGGCCCCGTACAGTGTACAAACTGCCAGGAGTTCGGGCATACAAGAACATACTGCACCCTGCGACCAGTTTGTGTCGCCTGTGGAGATTTGCATTGCATTGAAGCATACCTGGGAAACAAAGAAGACCCTACTGTGGGGGAAATCATACTGCCAACTACCGGGGCTGTCCCGTCTACAAAGAACTCAAGAGCCGCCTAAATCAGAGACGCAGTAATCCATTCGCCGCTCAACACTCTGCCCAACCAAACATCTTCACCCCATCAACAACCACTCCTGGTGTCTCCTTTGCCAACGCACTCCGCTACCCTGGAATCTCACAAACATCTACGGCCCAGCCTGCAGCATTGCGTCCACAGCCACCTATACCAAACCTAAATTATTTTCCGCTCTTAAGCCAAAATGGCCAAACAACAACTCAACCTTCTACGCAGCAAAACCAAACTCTTCCCCCACAAACACTTAGCGGTCTAGAATATACACTAGCTACTCTTGCAAACGTCATGATGACGATTCAAAGTTCCCTTCAAGAACTACTGCGAAACCAGAGCCTTCTAATGGAACTGCTGATCAAACAAAAGTCTGTATAAATGGACTCCTTAAGAATATGCTTCTGGAACGCAAACGGCGTTTCCCGGCACAAAAACGAACTCCTACAGTTCCTAAACAGCCACAATATCGATATCATGCTACTTTCTGAAACCCATCTAACTAATAAAAACTACTTCCATATCATCGGATATATATTCCACGCGACCAACCACCCGGACGGTAAAGCACACGGAGGTACCGGTATACTCATAAAACAACGCATAAAACATCATCCCTTGGAGACATTCGCTACTAACTACCTGCAGGCCACATCCCTACGTATAAACCTAATTGGCGGCCCACTTACCCTATCCGCCATATATTGCCCCCCACGCTTCAGTACTGCAGAAAATGAGTTTATGAATTTCTACAACTCACTAGGACGCTGCTTTATAGCTGCCGGTGATTATAACGCAAAGCATCCCCACTGGGGATCTCGTCCTATCAACCCCAAATGCCGCCAATTATACAACGCTATCATCACTCCTGGTAATACGCTTGACTTTGTCTCACCAGCTAGGCCTACATACTGGCCCACAGATCCAAATAAACAACCTGACATTATCGATTTCGCTGTTATTAGAAGAGTCTCGCAAAGGCTGATAAAAGTAAAAACCTTAGAAGAGCTTACATCGGACCATTCGCCAGTTCTCCTCTGTCTATCTTAACAGCCTCAGCTTCTGGAACGCCCCCAAAATCTAACATCAAACAAAACAAACTGGCTGAAGTACAAAAAATATGTAAGTGCACACATCGAACTTGATCCTGAAATTTCCTCTGAATCTGACATTGATAAGTCGCTTAAACACCTCACGTAATGTCCTCTGCCGCCAAACATTCTACGCCAGAACCCTCATCCACAAACCCGCTAAGAACTGGACGCTCAAGTATCCAGATCGAGTCTCTCCTACTTGAAAAACGTAGACTTCGCAGAGACTGGCAGACTCATCGGTCGCCAGCTACTAAGAAAAGACTTAATGAAGCATCTCGAAAATTGTCGAAGGCCCTCTCTACCGAAAAGAACCAGGCCCAACGGGCCTACATTGCGAAACTATCCCCGACGGGTAATAAATTCCCCAATTCACCCAAACATGCAACCACCAATAGATCCCGATTGGCCAATTCGATCACAAACAGGTGCCTGGGCGCGCAGTGACTAAGAAAGAGCTAACACCTTTGCCCATTACTTGGAAAACGTCTTCAAGCCTCACCCGCCATCCAACCAATTCACTCTACCGAATGTCTCGCTAGCGTCGCCGTCCTCCCCAGTTACCCTTGAAACCAGCATAATACTTAAGGCTATTAAAGAACATATAAACCCAAAAAAAGCTCCTGGTCACGATTTTATTTCTCCAAAAATGATAATTGAATTACCTGCATGCGCAGTCAGATGCATTGCATTTATATTTAACTCAATATTGAAATGGGACTACTTTCCTGACCAATGGAAAAAGTCTGTCATTACAATGATCCCGAAGCCAGGAAAAGACAAATCCCAGCCTTCCTCGTACCGGCCCATCAGTCTGCTCCCATGTCTATCAAAGCTATTTGAAAAACTGCTTCTTGTTCATCTAGTAACACATCTTCAAAACAACAGAACGATCCGTCTGCACCAATTCGGATTTAGGGAAAAGCATGGAACTATCGAACAGGTAAACCACTTAACATCTGAAATTCGCACGGCTTTCGAACACAAGCAATATTGCAGTGCCTTATTTCTGGACGTATCACAAGCATTTGATCGCGTCTGGATCGACGCTCTTGTATACAAAATCAAAACCCTTCTACCGGAAAACACTCACAAGTTGCTTGAGTCATACCTCAGAAAAAGAGTTTTCACCGTGAGATGTAAAACCTTTACTTCAACCATCCGTAACATCGAAGCTGGAGTACCCCAAGGAAGTGTGCTTGGACCAATCTTGTACATCCTTTACACGTCAGACATTCCAACAAGCCGCCAGACCCTCATCTCAACCTTTGCTGACGACACTGCCATTGTCAGCCGCTCGGAATGCCCAAAAACAGCTACAGCCCATTTAAAAGAACACCTGGTAGCTGTAGAAAAATGGCTCGCAGACTGGCGTATCAAAGTCAACGAGCAAAAGTGTAAGCACATTACATTTACTCTAAACTTGTCGAAATGCCCACCACTGGCGCTAAACAACAAGCCGGTTCCACAAGCAGACGAAGTCACCTATCTCGGCATACACTTAGACAGAAGGCTTACCTGGAGAAAGCATATAGAAGCAAAGAAGACCCATTTAAAACTAAAGGCCAGCAGCCTTCACTGGCTCAGGAACTACCGCTCCCCCCTTCCACTCGAATATAAAGTACTACTGTATAACTCGTGCTTAAAGCCGATCTGGACCTACGGTTCCGAGCTCTGGGGAAACGCAAGCAGCAGCAATATAGAAATTATTCAAAGAGTACAATCAAAGACCCTACGAACAATAACTCGAGCCCCCTGGTACATCCGCAACGCAAACATCCAGAGAGACCTGGATATAAATCCCGTAAAAGAAGAAATTGTTTCCAGAAAAATTAAATATGAAGCCAGATTATCAAATCACCCAAACCTGCTAGCCAGACAACTCAACCGGCTAAGCTATCATTCCCGTCTACATCGGAATGATTTCCCATCCCTCTTCAATAACATAAATTAACGTAACATAGATTAAGATTTGAAAACTTATTGTTAGTCTCTTAAGTAATAGAGAAGATCCAATAAATAAGAATAAAGTATCAAAAAAAAAACAAAAAAAGTTTTGAAAATTATCTAGATCGAATTGTAAGTCTAAATGGCAGCAAATGTCCTTATACTGCAAGCACAACTTAACATCATCTGCGTACATAAGTACGAGAGAATGACTTATAATTGATGGAAGATCGTTAATAAATAATGTAAAAAGTATGGGACCCAGATGGCTCCCTTGTGGGACACCGGAGGTAACACGGAGAATTTTAAAAATTGAATTTTTAAAAAGGACCCTTTGTGACCTGCCATTCAGATAACTTGAGACCCATCTTAGAAGATCAACTGGAAAACCTATCAAGTCAAGTTTTTGAACAAGAAGTAAGTGATTTACAGAGTCAAATGCTTTACTAAAGTCAGTGTAAATGACGTCTGTTTGAAAACTACTATTGAAGCCCTTTATCACAAATGTAGTGAGCTCTAGAAGGTTTGTGGTTGTTGATCCACGTTTAATAAATCCGTGTTGACACGGAGAAATGATTGATCTACAAAGGTGCTGCAGATGAGGAGTAATGATTTTTTCAAAAAGCTTAGGAAAAGCTGACAACTTAGAAATACCTCTATAGTTACTGGCTTTTAACTGGTTACCTTTTTTGAAAAGACCAATAACAAATGATTCCTTCCAAATATTTAGGAATTGGGAAGTTTCTAGAGATAAGGTAAACAACTTGTGAAGAGGTTTGCACAGGGCCTTAGCGGAATATCTAAGCACGCACCCAGGAATACGCCCGATGGTATTCACCTGGCGAATAAACAGGCTTAATACGAAGTAGATCCTAAAGAAGAGAGCTTTCTGTTAAAGTGGGACAGAATATGAGGTTTGGCTTGGATATGGTGTAAGAATAAGGCTGTGATGAATAATCTAAAGTAGAGTAAGTCGTTTGAAAAAATTGGGCAAATAAATCGGCTTTTGCCTGATCTGTGGTTCCCGTCATGTTTTCGAACGACAGCGAGGAAGGATAAGAATTTTATTTACGCTTGGTGTTAACGAAGTTATAAAACTGTTTTGGGACGGTTTAAGTAACTATTATAACACTGAGCATTAAGCACGGTAAATCTTGACCGAGCACTTAAATATCTAGTAAAAACAGATTGAGAACCGGTATTCTTATATTTCCTAAAAAGTCTGGACTTGACATTTCTTAAGTGTGTCAACTAGCAAAGAGTTGACCAACGTGATTTATTTGAAATTGACGGATAGTACCACGGAACACAGGAATTAAAAAATGAGTTTATTGCAGTGTAAAAAACATTAACTGCATCGGACATATTATTGCATAAGTAAAGATCAGACCAATTAAAGCCAGAAATAAAATTATTTATCCTCAGAAAGTCTGCCTTGCGAAAACAATGTATTCGTTTGGTTGATTTGTTTATTATTGCTAATTTGCAACAGACTTCACAACGGAAAGGTGATTTAAATAATCAGGAAGTTCAGACAACGGCGGATTATATGAGCAAGTTATGCATATAGAGTTACCAGTAAGCGATAACTTAACACAAATAAGTTCAATGGGGTCGAATTCCTCAAAAAATAACTCCTCTGACGGGAGGTTTGAATCAACTCCAATTATTTCTCCACCTCCCCGTCTAGAGGGACGCTCATACCTATATATTGCGTACTTACCTGGAAAAACTTCGGAGCTAAAGATCTCCGGCTTTAACCAGGTTTCTTTAAACACAATAATATGAGATGCAAAGGAAAGCCTATCAGAATACAATTTGCATTCTGATAGGAAAGAAGTTAGTTTTTTGAAATTGGTACACTGGTTTGTCCTCGACTAGGAAGTTTTACTCCCACGGGCCCCTTCTTCTTTATCTTAGCCTCGAACTCTTTTACAACCATATTATCCGGCCAAAAGTCGCCCGAGCATATGGCTTAAAAAAGCTCGTTAGGGACAGTTATCTTGAAAGATGAAATGTCTCTAGCATAAGAAAACTTAAACTTTTCCACCTTTACACTATTACAATCGGCTTTATTATACCCGTTACTCGTAGAGTAAAAGGGTATATTGTATTCGTGCAAAAGTATGTAACAGCTAGAAGGAAGCGTTTCCGACCCTATAAAGTATATATATTCTTGATCAGGGTCACTAGCCGAGTCGATATAGCCATGTCCGTCTGTCTGTCTGTCCGTATGAACGCTGAGATCTCGGAAACTATAAAAGCTAGAAGATTGGCATTTGCATGCAGATTCTAGGAGTTCCTACGCAGCGCAAGTTTGTTTCAAAAGGTGCCACGCCCCCTTTAAAGCCCACAATCGCTTATATACGATTTTAAAAATTTAAATATTTCGGAAAAGTAAAAATGCAGTTTTATTGTGTTTATCAATACCTATCGAAATGTAGAAGAAATTTTTCAAATCGGACCATTCGTTAAAAAGTTATGCGTGATCAAAGTTTCTATCTCCATCTCCCTCGCACTCCCTTTACCTGAGTAACGGGTATCTGATAGTCGGGGCACCCGACTATAGCGTTCTCTCTTGTTTTGTCTTGTATATAAGACAATATATCAGAAGATGTTTGATCAGGGGAAAGCCGAGAAACGAAAATTTGTTTCTTTAGTGGAACCACTGAAAGGGATTTTGGTGGATTTTCTGCAAAACCAACTTGAGCCGCTTGTCCGGATCCACTAATTGTGAAACCACTACGGAAAAATCGGAATTCTTAGAAGTCGCTGGTTGCATGCATTCTGCTACGAATTGTTCTGATGCCAAATCTTTTTTAGCTGCTGATCTTACCAACATTTGAAGAGTACTCTTATAAGAAGCCAAAGGATAAGGGCCGTGGAAGCTGTAACCAAATGGCGCATGGTGCCTCACGCCTCTTCAAAACAAAGACAGAGTATATGTTAGTACCAGGAAAATTTTAGAAAGTACCGTCTGTCTGTCGCCTACTTTTTCCTTGACCTGAGCTAAAGCTTGAGCGTAACAGAATCGGACTGTGCTTTGGCCTCATTCCATTCCCTCTTTACACGCCGTCCCCCACATGCATCTTTGCGGGCCGAGCAATACGATCCCCTTTTAAAATATATAAATTTAAATATGACATAAATGAACATATTCAAACATATTCCAACGCGCCCTGAAGTCAGCCTTATTACAAATTTTGGGCCCATCTCAAGCTTAAAGTGCTGGAACATATGATTTAATCCAAGAAAAAACTGAAAAATAAATTTCTTGGCGAATGTTCGAATATTCCTGAAGTGGGGTGCCGAAATTGAGTGGGTTCAATTTATAAAGCATACATTTAAAACCGAAACAAAAAAACGAATACTTTTTTGAGACGATAGTTTGTAGTCGATGATTTCCAAAAAAACTATTTTTTTTTTTGCTTCACCCTAAACAATAATTAAAATCATCAAAGAACATGTATTTATTCATGGGGTACCTCGCAACGAACACTTTTGTGACTCACTGCATTTATTGTATAATCATTGAAACGATCTGAAAAGTAAAATTGTTTACATTTTAGAATTATGGATTTATTTTTAATTTAATTACTTGAACATTAAAACAGAGATATTTAACAACTTTTTAGGTTGTGGTACCAAAACTGAATTAAACAAGTCAAGCCATACCGTACGGTTATTCGATTCGGTTTTAAAATCTTCTTAATAATATTCTTTACATAATTCAAGCTTAATTCCAATTCTAAATTTCCTAATATATATATATTTTTTATTTTTTAGCGATAAATTTACTAGGTTTTGCCAGTGGAAAAATTTGGAACTAAATTCACAAGTACGTATAATAGGTTTTAGTTCAATATTTTTACACAATAAACATATCTAAAAATTTAAAAGCCTTTTTTGACTGAGTAAACAACATGCTTAAAATTATATATCGCAATATGTCGTTTTTTTAATTTTTTTATTTATACGCATAAATTTCAATATATAATCGTTTCATAAAAAAATCATTCATTGTTTTTATAACTTCGAATCGGCGCAGTTTTCTTTTTTTTTTTTAAGGACTGAAAAAGAATTTTTAAAAATCGGATATATATATCTCGAATTAAATGTGCGTATAAGTTAATCATAGAAATATTTCTACATTTTTTCTGAGAAATATTCCAACATTGTCGACGGCAGCATTGCAACACATTTCGATACAACGGTCAAGAACCCGCTAGTTCAATAACATAAACACACCAAGAACCCCCAAGCCACAGCGCAATACCACAATGCTGATCCTGCAAACCTTGCAGTTTCCGCCGTACCATCAGAACTATGCCACCTCCGCGGTATCTTCCGCGACTTCGACGTCGCTGCCCCAACCCACAGCTTAGATTAGGGTATATTTTAATCAACAAAATCAGTCTCAAATTGAACTCCGAATAAATCAAACGCTCAAAATTTATTTTTGGGTTTTTATTATCCTAGAAATTAACTGGCGCCCGGACAGGGACCAACGCAAGTAAAATCGATTAAGTTTCTTTAGTGCAAATAAATAAAATATTTTTTGTCCGACTCCGTTGGCCCAAACTTAAAAACTTGAAATCCTTTGCAATTAATTTTGGAAGCTGAAGTCGGTAATCGGTCGGTGAAAAACAAATTTACTGATCGATCGGTGGACTACAAGTACTGTCAGGTACGTCCGCAGGACAACCTCTATTTTAGTGTGAATCGCAGGATCCCCAGTAGGAAACAAAAAGGAAGACATCCGGATCACCACGTTAAGTTAAGTGAAATAGTGAATAAGTGAACGCAACAAAACCAAAAGTTAAACCAAAAATAAGAATAATAATTACCCGCCCAACCGACCGAGGGGCGCAGCCGTCCGGCACGATTCGCGATAAGATAGACGCGAGATAGGAAAATAAAGGTAAAGGTCCGGGGAAAAAAGAAACAGTAAGATCAATTTTGTGCCAATGAAGCTAGTATTAATCGTTTTAGGAGCGGCAGAGAGTCAAGATTTGAGATTATAGGAAAAAGTCTATTATAGTCAGAACATAATACTCTGAAAGGCTCATGCAAGGCATAGTTAGATCTACAATGATTTAATATTAGGGGAACATAATTTCTAGTTAATCTACTTGGCACAGAAAAGTTTAGCCGACTTACCAAGTCGGGGCTGTCAATCTCACCACTCCAGACGGGAGACCCATATTACAGAATCGGACGGACTAGCGAAATAAATAAAGCATTAATTAAATAAGGATCATCGAATTCTTTTGACCACCTTTTAATAAATCTAAGCACTCCTCTGGCTTTATTAACCATGGACGAAATGTGATTAGAACATTTTAATTTAGGGTCCAAGAGAACGCCAAGATCGTTTACAAGGGTTATTCTATCCAAAGAGCTGCCAGTTAATGTGTAAGTCGCGTATAACAGATTGACCCGATAAAAAGTCAACAGCTTGCACTTGGAACCGTTTAAATTTAGTAAATTATCTCGGTACCAGTTTTGAAAATTATCTAGATCGAATTGTAAGTCTAAATGGCAGGAAATGTCCTTATACTGCAAGCACAACTTAACATCATCTGCGTACATAAGTACGAGAGAATGACTTATAATTGATGGAAGATCGTTAATAAATAATGTAAAAAGTATCGGACCCAGATGGCTCCCTTGTGGGACACCGGAGGTAACACGGAGAATTTTAAAAATTGAATTTTTAAAAAGGACCCTTTGTGACCTGCCATTCAGATAACTTGAGATCCATCTTAGAAGATCAACTGGAAACCTATCAAGTCAAGTTTTTGAACAAGAAGTAAGTGATTTACAGAGTCAAATGCTTTACTAAAGTCAGTGTAAATGACGTCTGTTTGAAAACTACTATTGAAAACTTAGAAATACCTTTATAGTTACTGGCTTTTAACTGGTTACCTTTTTTGAAAAGACCAATAACAAATGATTCCTTCCAAATATTTGGGAATTGGGAAGTTTCTAGAAATAAGGTAAACAACTTGTGAAGAGGTTTGCACAGGCCCTTAGCGGAATACCTAAGCACGCACCCAGGAATACGCCCGATGGTATTCGCCTGGCGAATAAACAGGCTTAATACGAAGAAGATCCAAAAGAAGAGAGCTTTCTGTTAAAGTGGGACAGAATATGAGGTTTGACTTGGACATGGTGTAAGAATAAGGCTGTGATGAATAATCTAAAGTAGAGTAAGTCCTTTGAAAAAATTGGGCAAATAAATCGGCTTTTGCCTGATCTGTGGTTGCCGTCATGTTTTCGAACGATAGCGAGGAAGGAAAAGAATTAGATTTACGCTTGGTGTTAACAAAATTATAGAACTGTTTCGGGTCCTGAGAGAACTGGACCTAACAACGGTTTAAGTAACTATTATAACAATGAGCATTAGGCACGGTAAATCTTGACCGAGCACTTAAATATCTAGTAAAAACAGATTGAGAACCGGTATTTTTATATTTCCTAAAAAGTCTGGACTTTACATTTCTTAAGTGTGTCAACTCTTTGCTAAACCAAGGTCATTTATTCGAAGTTGACGGATGGTACCACGGAACACAGGATTTAAAAAATGAGTTTATTGCAGTGTAAAAAACATTAACTGCATCGGACATATTATTGCATAAGTAAAGATCAGACCAATTAAAGCCAGAAATAAAATTATTTAGCCTCAGAAAGTCTGCCTTGCGAAAACAATGTATTCGTTTGGATTTTTCTGATTTTTCTTCTATAAATCTACCCGTATCAAATGAAAATTCGATTGTTGGGTGATATGGATCTTCAGGTTGCGTGAGTGGTGCTACTCTGGACAGAAACACACCTTCAGGATTTGATACAAAACACAAATCAAGTAGGCGTCCTAATGAATTTCGAACATGGTTTACTTGAGATAGATTATGTCAAGCAGGCCGTCAATAAAATCATGCTGTGCTATAGGTAGTAAGACATTCGATCTATCCTCAGTGGACCAAGTAACTCCAGGTATATTAAAATCACCTAGAACTACCAACTGATCCCTATTGGAAAGCTTATTTGCAACGGACTTTATAACGGATAGGTGATTTAAATAATCAGGAAGTTCAGACAACGGCGGAATATATGAGCAAGTTATGTATATAAAGTTACCAGGAAGCGATAACTTTACACAAATAAGTTCAATGGTATTGAATTCATCAAAAAATAACTCCTCAGACGGGAGGTTTGAATCAACTCCAAGTAAGACTCCACCTCCCCGTCTAGAGGGACGGTCATACCTATATATTGTGTACCTACCTGGAAAAACTTCGGAGCTAAAGATCTCCGGCTGTAACCAGGTTTCTGTTAACACAATAATATGAGATGCAAAGGAAAGGCTATCGGAATACAATTTAGTGAGTTTGCTACGCAAACCTCTTGCATTCTGATAGGAAAGAAGGAGGTTAGAAGTTAGTTTTTGAAATTGGTACACTGGTTTGGCCTCGACTAGGAAGTTTTACTCCCACGGGCCCCTTCTTCTTTATCTTAGCCTCGAACTCTTTTACAACCATATTATCCGGCCAAAAGTCGCCCGAGCATATGGCTTCAAAAAGATCGTTAGGGACAGTTATCTTGAAAGATGAAATGTCTCTAGCATAAGAAAACTTAAACTTTTCCACCTTTACACTATTACAATCGGCTTTATTATACCCGTTACTCGTAGAGTAAAAGGGTATATTGTATTCGTGCAAAAGTATGTAACAGCTAGAAGGAAGCGTTTCCGACCCTATAAAGTATATATATTCTTGATCAGGGTCACTAGCCGAGTCGATATAGCCATGTCCGTCTGTCTGTCTGTCCGTATGAACGCTGAGATCTCGGAAACTATAAAAGCTAGAAGATTGGCATTTTGCATGCAGATTCTAGGAGTTCCTACGCAGCGCAAGTTTGTTTCAAAAAGGTGCCACGCCCCCTTTAAAGCCCACAATCGCTTATATACGATTTTAAAAATTTAAATATTTCGGAAAAGTAAAAATGCAGTTTTATTGTGTTTATCAATACCTATCGAAATGTAGAAGAAATTTTTCAAATCGGACCATTCGTTAAAAAGTTATGCGTGATCAAAGTTTCTATCTCCATCTCCCTCGCACTCCCTTTACCTGAGTAACGGGTATCTGATAGTCGGGGCACCCGACTATAGCGTTCTCTCTTGTTTTGTCTTGTATATAAGACAATATATCAGAAGATGTTTGATCAGGGGAAAGCCGAGAAACGAAAATTTGTTTCTTTAGTGGAACCACTGAAAGGGATTTTGGTGGAGCAGACATTGTTTCTGCAAAACCAACTTGAGCCGGTTGTCCGGACTCAGTAGTCCCTTGTGGTGGTGATGCTACATTCTGAGAGATAGGTGGATCCACTAATTGTGAAACCACTACGGACAAATCGGAATTCTTAGAAGTCCCTGGTTGCATGCATTCTGTAACGGATTGTTCGGATACCGAATCTTTTTTAGCTGTGATCTTAGCAACATTTGAGGGTTTGCTGAAATCAGCTGCTGATCCGCCGGAATGCTCTGTTGTTCTTTTGATTTCGGTTGCGGGGTGTTCCCCTTTTGCTCCTTACCACCAGCGGCCTTTTTGCGCTTAGGGGACTCTTCTAATAGCTTACGACTATTAAACTGGGAATCTAGCGCAGAGAGGAGATCATCAGCTCGGCAAAAACTATCTCTAGCAACTCATCTCGTTCTCGACACAAGCATCACAAAAAAACTCCAAATTGGGCCCCTTTGAAAGGTCATCACTTGTCCGGCCAGTAAAACCGGCGCACTTGGTGTGCACCATATTTTCACACAGCCAGCAAGTCATATTA